AGAAGGAAATGAACAGGTTAAGTATAATTTCCATTACAAATGCTGTGAGATGCTGAAATTGTTTTGAAGAAAAATAGGTATTTCTTATAACTTTCAATAATAGATGAGGCTAAAACCGGTCGAAATCAAACAGTGAAAATGTTTATTTATTTAGACAATAAGATGTTTTCCACCTAAAAACCCATTTAAATTCTAGATCTGTGACAAGTAAACCTTGATCTATAAACCTCACTTTGAAACATTTCACAGCCTCAGTCTTTCACTTATTGATGTCGATTCAATCTGTAGCATAAACACAAATGATTCATTTTAACTTTGGCCAGGTACCACACACTAACACAATTTGATGTGCAGGTGGGTTATACAGCAAAAGGGTTTGCGTGAATGGTCACATCCTTTATCCGACTTTCAGTCAGCGGTCGAAACGTCTTTTCATTGACGGGCAGTTTCTCCAGTTCATCCAGCGTCTCCAGGCCATCAATAATCCTGTGTGTTGAAGAGAGTGAGAGGTCAGCTGACCTAAACTGAACAGAGGTCATGCAGAGACGTGTACAAAAAGGCCTGAGGATGCCCCTTCAATTTATGATGCATTATATAAATTAAATTTGATCAATAACTGACAAGATTGATTGACTGCTCTCATTTACATTAGCAGCACTAATTTCATCTCACAGAATCATTCATTGATTGGTAAACAGGTTACATACTTTCCAAACACAGTGTACTTCATGTCCAGATGTGGCTGTTTGGCGTATGTGAAGAAAAACTGGGATCCATTCGTGTTGGGGCCATTATTCGCCATCGAGACGACCCCTCTCACATTATGCTGAAATGACACAAATTTGAAGAACGCAAGAGTTACAACACTGAACTTTGACCCCTTGAATGAAAAACAAATATTTATCAAAACTAGCCAACTCACTTTTAAGTGCTCACTGTACTCATCTTCAAATTTGCGACCCCATATACTTGTTCCTCCTTTACCCGTTCCTACAACATTGAGTTGGAAGACAGGATAACCAAGTGAGAAAGGTGAATGCTGAGATTTCAGGTACTGATCACACACGAGAGCTGTGACAAACCTGTGGGATCTCCAGTCTGAACCATGAAGCCTTTGATATTTCTGTGGAAGACGCAACCGTTGTAGAAGCCGCTGGCGCACAGAGCCAGAAAATTCTGTAAAACAAAAAAGGACATGAAATATGAAGAATTCATCAAGAACCAGATGAATATAGAATTTTAAAGGCTGATGCTTATATCAATTCTTGTACCCATTAAGTGGCCGATAGAAACATTAGATAGACGGATGGATACTTTATTGATGTCGAGGGAAATTTAAAAGAAGAATACATTTTCCATGAACCAGGTGACGTCTTTAGAAAACCCACACGACGCAGAAATGTACCCTGGGTTTGATATTTTACAGTTTAATCATGAACTTTATTATAACCACATCTGCACATATTGTTCTGCATTGTTTAACATGCCAAATGGTAAACTATCATAACAGCTCCCCTCAACCACAGCGAGAAACTTCATTCAAACCTGCCTCAGAGGGAAACAGTGGAGGTTCATGTGTGTGTGTGTGTGTGTGTGTGTGTGTGTGTGTGTGTCACTCACCTCACATGCTCTCGGTGTTCGCTCACAGAACAGCTCGATCTTAACTTCTCCCAGGTCCGTGTGGAGAGTGACAGCCTGTGAGACACAAGAGAACACAAAGCTCGTAGTGATGCTAGCTGTGTAGCCTGTTAGCCCATATAGCAAAACTAAGCTACTTCCATGTTAAATAAACGTGTTTAGCGAAATGTATCTTAGCTGCATCAACTGCGATGAAGTAAAAAAAAAAAAAAAAAGAGTTTATAATTTGTTTGCTATTTATTCCGATATTTAAATGGAGATGAATTCAGCTGGAAAATGCTGCAACATTTAATTTACCATTTCAGACGCAGGGCCAACGAAGGTGTGTCGGAGAAACGTGTCCGACTACGCGCAGGGACCCGGCGTAGAATGGTTCCACATGCCACATCATTGGGGGTTGGTGAAGAAACTGTACTGTTATTATAAAACTGTCAGATAGAGAGAGAGAGAGAGAGAGAGAGAGAGATAGATAGATAGATTAATAGATAGAGAGAGAGATAGATAGATAGATAGATAGATAGATAGATAGATAGATAGATAGATTAATAGATAGAGAGATAGATAGATGAATAGATAGATAGATGCTTAAATGTAACACTGCATCCTTGAGTGCATAGAGATTTATAGTTTTTAGTAGTGTATCTGACTTTTTATATGTTATTATCGCACTAAATAAAAACTCAAAGTGGATAAGCAGTGTACATAAAGAGTAACTTTATGATGTTGTTAAGACGTGAACACGTACACCTCAAATAAACATCTGGGCCCTTAAACCCACCATTTCCCTCTCATGCTCCTCGAAGCGTTGTAGATTGGATATCATCAGATTTTCTTTGGGTTCATTTGATTATTATAAGCACACATCTGGCATAATGATGGTCCTTAAAAGTGGATTTGACACAGATGCCCACTTAGAAAACCTTTGAGTAGAAAAGAGGGATGTAAGTGCAAGGCCCTTATCATGTCACACAAATAACAGAACTCTCTGTTTATGACATGTTCATCAAATAGTAAGAGCTACTGCTACTTCTAAGAAACCTCTGAATAAATATTAAGACCATCTCATTAACCAGTGTCTTACATGGCATTGGAGGAAATGATAATACCAGAGTAAACTGACTTTTCCAAATCACCAGAGCAGAAGCAGAACAGACAAATACAAATGTGGTCAACCAAGTTTATTTTACTTTACCCCAGGGGAGGGTGTACAAGAGGATGAGACATATGTCCTGACTCGCTGTCATAAGGGCCAACACTGAAAATGATTTCCTTTAACAATGAAAACATTTTGGCAAATAATAATAATCATAATGATAAAATCACTGCACAAACTCATGTATGTACATCAGCTATGATTGGAATGGAGATGGGGAATGTTGAAAATGATCTTGTACCCAAAATTATATATTTTTTTAAAGAACAAAGGACATGGATAACATGGGGTCGCTAAGTCCCATCATGCAAACGCACATACTGTACACACACAAAGCTCTCACACACACGTCCATCTGTGCTAATAACAATCACAATTCAAACAAATCGGACACAACAGCTCATTCAATACCCGGTCATTGATGGAAAACAAAAAACAACACAGAATCCAAGGTTAAACCAAGTGGTCTCTTTAAAAACACAAACACAAACACATTTTGTTTTAAACCAGCAGTTGATATTAAATACACCAAACTAGAAAGTAATGTATAGAACTGCATATAAAATGTTACCACAACTGTTTAAATAAATAAGAAAAACCCGGTGTAATAAAAAAAATAGGCAATCAACTCATAAGAGAAGTGAGTACAGCTGGTTTCCTGAGAAATTTTGTTTTACTATTATTATACTAATAGCTGTCAAAATGAAAAACAAAGATAAAGAAGACGGAAAATCTAGAAAAAATATAAACAATGACTATGAGACAAAAATCTATTTACTAAAACCACTTTACTAGCAACCTACACTATGATTTTTTTAATATACTGACCATTTACTTGCAGTTCTCACTACAAGACCTGACATCTGACACTTGTGATGTCAGCCTTAAATTGATTGTCTTAGTCTGTGGCGTATTGCTGAGGCGATCTGGAAATCATTTTAAATGCTCCAGTTTGGGATTTAAAGGTAAGGAGCAAACTAAATGCGTTTTTGTAGATACTTATATTAATCAAATACCTTTATAATCTCGTGGCTGGCAGTCATTCTCTTCAACCTTCCCATATCAGAAAACATGCAGTGTATTCAGTAAGTTGTATACCAGTGTTTGCATTGACCTACATGTGACATATGGCAGAGGTGCTATAGAACGAAAGCATTCTCCCGGCTCCTCTAATCAGCTCAACTTGAAAGTCACCATCACCTTAGTAAAATGAATGCAACAGAAATAAATGCCCATGCACATCTGAAAACTACATCACTACTGATGCTTACATAGTTTTAAATAAAGGCAATATTGCACAGTTAAGGATAGTTTAACATGTTCATGAAATACATGCACATAACCATTCCAATGTTTTTAAACCCAGTTTTTTGGATATTGCTACTGTTCAGAGTTTTCTTGCAGTTAGGTTAAAACATAGACTGAGGTTTGTTTTTTTTTAAATTCTCAGAGTAAACACAGGAACCCCTGTTGTGAGCTGAACTTTGTCAGAGCTCTGCATTGATCTTGAATTCCACATTTTGAGCATCACGCTGCATAATGTGGCAGAAAAACACAAGGGAAGAAAAGTCTAAGGGTAAAAGTTTGAAACTTTGTCTCATGAAACGATCGCACTTTGAAACCAGAGAAATAAACACGGTGACAATGACACGAGCTGACCTGGAGAGTACGGACGCCCATTAATGATGGGACGCAAAAAATATATAGAAACATTATAACATCTTGAACAATTCAGTGAAATCAAATAAAAACTGTGATAGGTTGAGAAAACATTGAGAACCTCAATTACTCTTACAGACACACATGGATGTTTTTCTTAGCACACCTCCGTCTCGTCTGTTTTCAGGAGAACATGCAGCTGATGCTCTCGTAGGGTCGTGACGGCACAAGGACGTCTCGTACAACTGATGCCAAAATGTACATCACGTTGTAGCCAAACCCTTACATACGTGTGAATAATCGAAGTAAAACACTCGTTAAGGTGAGAAGTTAGCTTTAACTCTCTTAAATCTAATTTGACAAGTTAAAATAGTAAGATATGACTTTGTAAATATGGCTTTAAGAATCTTTTTTTCTTCTTTTCTAGCATTTTGTCTTTTTTTTATTTCCCTGACAGGAATATTGTTTAACTTCAAGAACTGACATTTTAACTCCAGTGTGATGCTACGATCACTTTTTCATATAAGAGCAGATTTTTTTTTTAATTTTTTTTTACACCCCGTGCAAAGCGGTGCCAATCATGACACATTTCTTAATCAGTTCCAGACCAATGCAGTCTAGTGCCCATGCTGTTAAAATAGAAAATGCCCTTGCTTGTGTCTGAGCCCCCAAAGGTGTGTTGGTTTTAAAATGAGGCCTTGTTTTACGCCTTGCTATCTTAAGGTGGTGGTTAGCAGTGAGGTGGTGCCGTGCTAATCTGTTATTTTAAAGGAGCATTATCAAAACTGCAATATTCGCCTAAAAACACGGGTGAACAACAATAACAATACAAAAACACAAGGAGTAAATCAAAGTTAAGGGAAAGGACCTGAAATCTGTGGCTGTTTCAAAAATAAAGCCTAATTATTCTTGCCACTGAAATTAATGACAAGTGGATTGTGGCTTGTTTATTGATAAGTTTTATACTTTTTCAAGTCAAATCAAAAGTTTAAAATGTCACTTTTTAATTTCATTGATGGTTGTTGGATCCTATTGCAATGTTCTTTCTGTCCCATAAAAAATGCGATTATTGTTTAAAATGATGGCTTTAAGCTCAAGCACGGGTGCTCAATGTAATAATGCATTTCAGTGAGATTAAAAAGATCATTTCCTTAGTGAGATACAAACATCACATTACAATGTTACAAGAACATAACATGAACACATGGCCAGGTGCTCAGACAGGTTTCGAAGACATGTCATTGTCTTACGACTCAAATATCAGTGTATACATGAAGACCATCATATCCACGACGGCGTAGTTAATAAACTAATACAGGGTTTGAGTATCAGTTAAGCAAAGCTCGTCAGCATTTCCGCAAAGTTTGTACATTTTGTTTTGTGCAACTCATTGCAAACAAGAACAAGCTCACATTCCCACTCATTAGTATTCTGCTCCCTGGTAAGATGCTCGACTAATTTCACTGTGTGCAGCTTGATGCTTTGTAATGCTCCTCATACACTGCGACACAGAGCAGTACTTGTCTTTCCTCAATCAGTAAGGATCAAACTCTTCAGTCTTAAACACCAAATGTATTGTTATCAACACTCAGGCCAGCCTAAGACGACAACTCCTGTGTAGCACTTGCACTGTGTCCTCACTGACACTCGTCTTCCCACCTCATCCAACAACTCAGAGACAGCATGTTTCAACATTTTTCAAGCAGACCTCAGGTATCTGGACGTCATCAACATCCATCTGAAGCAGACACACTTAACACCAGAGCTATGTTTCTTGTTTCAGGTCAGTTCTGGACAACTGACAGAGACTTCGGAGCCAAGATTCGGATTCAAACTTGTGGAATTGCAAACTTGAATGTGTAGTATGCTTGTGACGGATACAGGTCATTGCATACAATTATATTATTATTGTCATATTGTAAGTGAATATAACCTTTTTCCCCCCTAACATATTAAAGTTTCAGCCTCTTGTCTTAACCAGTTTCATGTTTTTTACCTAAGCATGCTACAATACAGTGAGGAGTTTAATAAAGATCAGAAACACTGGAGAAAATGATGTTTGCAAAACGCAATTAAGAGGGAGAGGTCTCTGAGATCACCCTGTTTGCTCCTGATTTCACTGGACACATTTTTACAGTAGTGTGATGAAACTTGATTTGACAAGAACCCTTTCTTACCTTTATTTACCAAAAACCAAACATTGGAAACTAGGGTTGGGGGATGTTAACTTAATTGGCACATGACGATGCATGCAGTGAAACATCGCGATGGACAATGCCCAAAGAAGGGGGGTCATTGTGAAAAGATGTGAGTAACAATATAACGATTAGGAGGCTATGTGTTTAACACTGGGATAGCAGGGAACGGGAGAATTCATTGGCTTCCTTCTGCAGCTTTGTACTGGCTGCAGATGCACCGTGGAGCAGCTCTGCCACGGTTCTGCTGCGTTTCGCGGTTGTCTGATGTTGACACTGGCAGCGTGTCTGCTGCGGTTCTGCAGCAGAGCTGCTGGTGTAACTACTGTTTCCTTGAATAAAAGTCTGATTGTGTACTCAACTAAATGCCAGGACACTATGTCATCAAGCTCTGCATCTTCTGGTTCATCAACAATCAAAGCCTTGTTAAAACAAATGAATGGATTCAGTCAACAGACACGCTGGAGTGCTTTTATTTTTAAAACGTGTACAGGATGTGTTGCAAACATTTGTGTTTGTGACACATTCAACAGATACTTAAAACTGTGGTGAAAGATGATTTTCACTTTCTAGTCTTCTATGAATAGCATGTGTTATGCAGAGAAAATTGGCGAGTCCTCTATTCTCTGGATGAGCAGCACGGCTTCTGCGGCTGAACTGGAGTCAGTGTGGCCGCTCTAATCTGTTAACATGTTCGCCCAAAGTGAAAAGCAAGTCCAGCCAGTGTGGCCCGGGCGTCAGGCGAATACTCCTTAAAGTAGCCTAGCCTACATGTAGTGTATCTATGGCAAAATCCCGGCAGACAAGTAATAAATATATATTTCCAGGTCGACACTGAATCTGTGCATGGCAGGCTGCAACTGTCTGTCAGAGTCGAACGGGGGAGGGGGCCACAGCCATTGCCCATCAACCCAACCCTATCGGAAACCTCGTTTTATTTCCATTGCTGTTGTAGCAAAGTTGACCCACATTTTGCAGTTTTTAAACTTCTCCACCACAATTCAGAGGGAAAAAATAATCACAATGGCACCTGCTACATTATTGCTGAAAAGCATAATTGTTGAATGTAAAGGGAAGAAAAAAAAAAATCAACTGGATAGTTAGGAACTAAGAGAACAACCAGAAGCTACCACACTTAGTATTTTGGTTTTGCCAAACTGGCACTGGTTCTTGATAACCCAACCTTAAGGGCAGTACACCGCAGCAGGTTTACTGCCGCCTTTAGCAAGCCCTCTGGGACACACTGTCCCCAGTAGTCCTCCAGTTTCGGGGCCCAGTTGATGGGTATCCGACTTCACTAACAGTGACACTGTGACCTGTTTAAGCCTGTTCTTTGTCGACTTTCCACAACTGTTCCTTAACCTCCGTGGGCAGCGTGTTGAAGAGGTCCTCCTCCACCACAAGTCCGGTTCTCTTCAGCTGTCGGCAGTCGCCCAGCTCCACGGGCAGACATTCCAGGCGGTTTCCTCTCAGTTCCAGCTGTGTCAAACCGGTCAGCTCTCCAAAACGCGATGGCAGAGAGTGCAGGCAATTGTTTCCCAAATTCAAAGTGCGAAGCTTCTTGCACTGGAACAAGTCATTTGGTAGACTCTCGATCTTTATTCCGAGGTAGGGAGGATGATGTGAAGGCAAAGAGAAGGAGAGAAAGGGTTAGGATACAATCAATCAAATACCCAACATTAAGCTCAAAATGGTTGGAAAACAGTGCTCACCCTGTTAGCCGTCACTGCCAGGTACTGAAGATTCTGGAGGGTTCCGATGTCGGTTGGGATGTAGGTCAGGTTGTTATGGCTCAGGTCCAAGAAGCGCAGCTTGCGGCAATAAAACAACTGGCTGGGGATCTTCTCAATCTTGTTTCTGTTCAGGTACAGCTTCTCCAAGTTGGTGAGTGTCCCAATCTGGATGGGAATGTAGGCAATCTGGTTGTACCAGAGCTTAAGGCAGACAAGCCGATGAAGGTGCTGGAAGCTGATGATCTCCTCGATGGTCTTCAGGTTGTTGTCCTTCAGGTCGATCTCCTGCAAGTTGTGCAAGCTGAAGATCGAATGCGGTATGCGTTCAAGATCACAGCGAATGAGCTCCAGTTCTGTCAGGTTCACCATCTTCTTCAGGCTGTTGAGCACCATCAGCTTGGTGCCTTCATTGTTGATGGAAAGCTTCTGGAGGTGCATGCCCACGTCAGTCACCACCTGAGGTAGCTTGGTGAGATTGCTCTTCAGACGAAGAACTTTGAGCCTCTTGAGCTCCCGAAGCCCGTCAATGACAATGTAACGGTTGTTTTCCGCGCTGAGATTCCCTGTCAGATGGAGCTCACTCAGATTCTTCAAACTGTAGATCCATAAGGGAATCTCCTTGATGTCAGTGAACTTGATGTGCAGGGACTTCAAGTTCTCGCGCAAAAAAGCCAACGCTGGAGCTTCGATTTTTGCTGGTGTGTGATAAAGCCACATTTCCCGCAGGTTGATCAGCTGGGCGATGATCGGGGGGATGGTGACATCTGGGATAAGCTCCAGTTTAAGGACCTCCAGCTCCATCAGGTCGAACACAGTGTCTGGAATGCCGCTTAGCATGAAAAGGTGCAACTCCAACTTCTCCTGAGAGTTCTTAGTGATCCTCTGCCTGAGCTTGTCCAATGTCCACTCATTGTTAAGGTTCAGCTGCCTCAGCTTGTTTTCACTCACTTCCGAGAGGAACACGGCAAAACGTTTAGAGTACAGAGGGTCGTACTGATCGATCATGTGCAACATGAATGCAAAGTCATTCTTTACATCGGGTATGTCACTGTAGCTGCTCTCTTCCCGTATTGACTCAAAGGAGTATTTCTTCAGAGAGCGCCGGAGCATCCAGCAAAGTGTGTACATGCAGATCAAACCATACACCACCACTAAGCTAATGTAAAAACAGGCTAAGATTTTAAAAAGTGTAGCCAACGGATGAGCACAGCGGTACACGCTGTAACCCGTCAGACTCTCTATATTTACCGAACAGTCAACGCTGAATTTAATATCATGCACATAATACCCTGTGTAACAGATTATCAAAATGAACTTGATGACTTTGATGATAGTCTGACGGATGTACAGTCTGTACACAATGTCTCCCTCTTCAACGTGTATACGGAACTTTTTCACTTTTTCAAACAGGGCTTTTGCTTGTTCGCCCTCTTTTTTCTCCAGAACCCCCGTCTCCGTCCGATCTACGATGCCCTGCTCAAAGCGTGTCTTTGTCCTTTGGAGCATAGGAACACTTGCTTCAACATCCTCACTGATGACGGACTCCTTGTGGTCCATCGAGCCGTTCATTTTCATCGGTTTTGGGTCACTCTCTTCAACCACTGTCTCTGACAGTGCCCTAGTTGTCCATGGGGAGTCAAAGCATTTCAGCAGGATGGACACAAAGTGCTCGAGTTTGGAACTAGTTCGTGGAAACTTAAACCAAAAGTTGCTGCATGCTAAGAAAATAAGGGTGTGGAGTAATACTAGGTAGGGAAAATACTTGGCAAACCAGTGCAATCTGTTCTCATAGCACACAGCGTCCACATAGTTGTACTGGTGACGGTCCAGATCGTACTGGATCCCTTTGGGCTCAAGGAACAGTGATGTGGAGAGGGTGGCATTGAAGTTCTTTTTGCAGGTCTCATTGACCACCCATTTGCAGGGCAGGCAGATCATCTTGTCCTGGGTGACCTGCAATGTCCCTCCAAACACGGAAATCATCAGCATAACAATGGAGATATAGTCGGTGAAAACATCCCACCATGGTTTCAGGATGCGGTACGCTGGCTGAGTGTCCACAAAGTACCGCAACTCAGTGATGGGGATCATGGTTTATCTGTGTGGGGGGGAAAGAGATTTTAGGACATAATAAATTCCATTCCATCAATACCTAAACCACAACACAATACCAAACTGACAGATCAATATTACATACCAACTAACAAGGTCACACATCAGAGGAATCCAGACAGTTAATTTGAAGGGTGCTTGGACTAATGAAAAAGAGATTCTCAATTGTTGTGACCAAGAATTGCCTGAGTGACTTCATTGGGGTTGGCTACTGTGTTATTGATTTAGCTGTTGTTTAACACACACAATTAATCGGCCTTCAAAATGGAGTCAAACTGGACAAAACATTTCAAATGTGGCCAAATGGCAAACCAGACATCAATAAAATATAAAGTCAAAGTTTCTGCAATTCAATTTAAACAAGACAAGATTTTGGTTAGGAGTTAATGGGTTATCCATATGAAGATAAACAAATAATTAATATACAGACACCTGTCTAATAAGTGTATGAAGACTGTAAACATAAATGAACTAAACAGTCATGTTCTATTGGTTTAATATTAAATAATAAGGTCAGATTTTCAATAAAAGGGCACTGTAATTTCCAGGGACACATAAGTCAGTAACTTAGTGCTTCACATGGTATGAGTGCATTTTAGTGCATAAATATGTATCATTATGATATTAATATGTTGAAAAATCAAAAATGACATTTTTGGATAAAGATACAGAAACCTATATCAGTCATGTGTATGTGAACATTGTAAAACAAAACAAACTCAAAGATTTTGTCCAACTGTTTACACATTAGGGGGATTTAGAACTGGCTCTTGTTGATTGTCAAATCATCAATTCCAGGAATGTGAGTTTTCTGCCACTGCTTGCCAACTGAGGGGCATGTCTGTCACTGAGGGAAAACATCTAAGTGAAGTAACATTATTGACAAGCAAGCAGAGTTGGCAGATCTATTCTTTGACCAAGAAAACCTAAATAAAGAATCAGACTAATAAGAGATAATAATATCAACAGTAAAGTCACTTGTATAGCACTTGTCTAAACAAGTGCTTCACAGAATACATGGCAATAAAAAACAAATGAATAGAAACAAAAAGGGAATTTTCAAGCATAACTCAATTGTTTAAGTTTAATTTTTTGTAATATGGTGGCTAAATTAAATTTCCTATAGTATGATAGGACAAAGTCAAAGTCAAATCTACACCTTGTTCTCAGGTAGCAAGTTATTACTCCAACCTGTTGGTATGAAAATATAATATTAAAAAAATCTATATATATAAAAAGCATGCATGAACAACATAGGTTTGTGCAAGGATAGATAGAAATGCTCTTTAAGCCACTGGAAAATTGGTTCTACTTACAAATCCACACTGTAAAACGCAGTAACTCCATAAATAACGAGTCAAAGAGAGATCCACAACTACTCCCTGGCTGCTGCTGTGCAGTAGAGCCAAATAAAACCCTCCAGATCAACCTCTAGCCTCGCGCGAATGTGACACACCCAGCATGTAAGCTTTGAGAAGTCACTCTTCCACAGATGATGTTCCGTTTTGGCTGGTTTAACCCAAACAACACGACCGCCAGAGGAGCCACCTTGCTCCCCTGCTCTCTATTCTTAGCCATTTCCGTTAATAATACACAGAGTATTGTCTGTGGGGGCCTTGAGAAGCACCTCCCTCGACCTTCAGGAGGAGATCCTGTTTACCTTATGGAAGCTGCTGTCTCCAACCACTGTCTCTCTGGAATACTCTGCCGTCACCTATTGCACCCTGACTGATGCCCCCCCTCCAAAAACACACACACACACACACACACACACACACACACACACACAGTATCAGGAGCGGGCGTTCGTCACGGCTTGTACTTTCTTAGGAAACTGTAAAAGCTGGAAGTGAAGACGCCTGGTGTGATCTTCGGCCAAATAAGCAGATATAAACTGGCTCAAGTTCAAAGGGACTTTTTCAGGGATTCCACTGAAGCGGCCCTGGACCGGGAGGATGATGAAGCACCGACAAACACGACTACGAGAAGTGCTCACCAGTGTGGAAGGTGTTATCTGTGCTCCTGTGCCTGAGGGTGTCTCTGGTGGACCAGCCACTCTCTGTGTATCCAAAGCTCTTGGTTAAACATCGCCACACTCATCGCCATGAGGCTCAATAGAAGATCTGGAAAATAAAGAAAACCAGTGAGAAATCAAAATGTGGCCAAACACAAACAGGAGATACTGAACAGAAGAGAAAGTCTCCTGCGTGTGTGTGTGTGTGTGTGTGTGTTTATTGTCTCCTGCTGCGAACACTGTTTGTGTTCTACGTCATATTAAAGAACATACACACATGTGTTGTTTAACATTTACATGAATAACAATAACAACAAAAGTACCCATCAGCCACCGCTTGTAGCCCGAACATGAGACGTCTTTGTCAAGTAGCTAGCTAGCTCGCGTTTAATACGAAAGTTAAAAGTTGGATGTTTTTTAGTACACTGTTAAAAAACGACATGACGCCACAGCTTGATTGAAATAAATCGTTGTCTGTCAAGAGTCCGAGTTTCGGCACGAGCCCAAAAAATAATTAGAATGTTTTTGCTGTAAAAGCACGTTAGCGAACCTAAGCTAGGCTGCCGTTAGCTAGCAAGCTAACCTAGCTTACATGCTAACCACCCCGGCTGATTCCTTCATCGTGAAGTTCACGTCTCGGTTTGAAAGGTGACTGTTTGCTGCTAACACGCTGTAAAAACCCACCGGGGAGTTGAACTTACACGGTTTGTTGAGCTACGACCAAAATCCAGCGCAACTGTTAAACACCGGTGGCTGATGAGAAGTATGTGTTTACTGATGCTAGCAGCTCGGCTAGCTAGCTGTAAGCGTGTGTTACCTGCACCGCCCGGCCGAGGGGAGGCAGCAGGGGCGGCGCTTGAAACACGCGAAGAAGAGCGACCTTCCTCCTCTGCCCGTCACATGGGGACAAGAGGATGTTGATGTTTTGACAGGAGCACCCTGTGTTGTTGTGTGTTCGAACCCCCCAGACATGTTGAACTCACTGCGGGTTGTGTGCTCAGCCCGAGCTCTGGTGAGGACGAGCCGGGTTTCTGCTGCGGGTCCGGGACACAGTTTGTCCACATGGCTCTGCAGCACGGACACCAGAGCCCCGGTGAAGGACAGAGGACTGAGTTACCACACGAATCCACCTCATTCACAGAGGAACTTCTGCACGCGTCAGGTCGAGCTGAACTGCTGGAAGTGTCAGCAGCCTCGAGGCAAAGCTCCTTCGTTCTTCTGCATGTCATGTGAAGCGGTGCAGCCCCCAGAAGAAGGGATGTCTTACTTCGAGATCATGGCTTGGTAAGTGTCTTGTCTCCAACTTTTTTTTATTGCACCTACATGGACATGTAATGAGACCTCGTGTTGCCTCTTTGCAGCGACCACACTTTCACTGTGGATGCACAAAAGCTGCAGAGAAGATACCTGCAGCTCCAGAGGGCCCTGCATCCAGACAACTTCTGCCAGAAGTCTGTGGTAGGCCGGGGGCTGAGAAGGGGACACTGATGGAGATGGTCTATATGAGTCAGAGGAAGCTTTCCCCATCTATGTATACCTTGCTTTTATTTGTATCTAACTATTGCACTGTCTGCTCTACATCTTTCATTGTACTGTAGACCCCCTGCGTTGACTTGCATATGACAAAATGTGTGGCGCAGGAAGCTTACATGCAAACAAGGCCGAGACACAGCAAGAAAGATTAAGGAATCAAGTTGAAAATGAAATTAGGATTTAATCAAACTTGGAGTTTTATTTGTCAACACAGGGTCGGCAGTACAATGAAAGTGTTGGACAAGAAGACACAGCTCAGCTCAGCATTGCAATAGTTAAATTGGAATAAAAGCAAGGTTGAAAGAACTTACTATAAAAAAAGTCAAATACAAAACTAAAACTCTCCACATTCAAAGGTGCAGTGTGACATTCGTTGCAAATGAAGAAACAACTCTATCTGTTTATCATGAGTTTAGGAATCTGATGGCCTGATGGTAGAAACTAGAATGACATTACAAACAACAGGAGTTTTACATTTTGCAATTATCAATTAAATTATTACTTAATTACCCGTTTCAAAGGAAAGTTCAGTCATTTGACATAAATGATATGATCAGTAAATAACCTTTGTTTGTTTAAAACTTTTTGAAACACAAGCCGAAACTTCTATTTTTCTTGATTTTCTTGGTTTGTCCTCTTGTGTTTGGATGGAGCTCTCTTCACTTTTGATTTGTCTATTTTCATAAGCAGACCTCTCTTGCACCAGAATGTTGTTATGGACTAAATAGATTTGAGGAGCTGCTCGGTAAATCACACTCGGCCTGAAGCACACTGAGAATATATTTTGCATAAAAACCTCAACTAGATCATCTTTAAAAAAAATCAATCCTCAACAAGAAATAAGATTTGTTCCGATGCATCAGAGCACTTTAAAGTCTAATGTTTTCATAGGTTATTTTACAGAGTCGTAAATAATAATGGATAAAGATTTCCCATCATTGTATAGAGGGAGGAGCAGCAGTCTGTTGCTCCCCTTGTAATTTACTCTACACACTCAGGTGGAAAAGCACAATGCAGAATGCTATCAGGTTTCGATATGAAAGCTAAACTCACGTTCAGCCGAGCCTGAACACTTTCCTCACAGACAACCTGTCCAACAATGTACAGACTCTGTTTTATTTATCAGCACCTCTGGCCATTTTTTCTTAATTAGACATCTTCCAGCCTCAGGGGCCTCCATCACATATAGAAAACTCATTACTTATACAAGGCTACAAGGCAGCCACCTTCTGTACTGGTTGTTATTACAGAAACAGCTCCACACGATGGGCCCATGGGCCAGAGCTTCAGCCTATTGATTTTCACAAGAGCTGACAGAGCTGATAGCTGCGAAATGTACTCAGATCTGCCAACCATTTCCGAGATATTATACTTCCCCTCCTTGTTTCTTACACATCTGTTGTGTCAAACCTGCGCCTGCATCCCTTGAAGGGTCCCAAACTGCTCGACTATAAAGGTACAGCTGTGTGTCACACATCTAACTGACAAGATCACAGAGGATTTGGTGTTTTAGAAAATTGACAGGTTAGATTCTGGAGAAGACATGTCTCAGATTTAATTCCCTTTTTTGACAGATTGATGTGAAAACTCCAGAGAAGGTCCCAAGCAACTGACCCACACATTTGCATTTTCACACACAGCACCGTGCTTGAGTCCAGTACATGTCTGGAAGCAACAATAACACAGGTTTTCTTTCCTCCAATAAATGAATATGGACAGAAGCAAATCTAACAGAACCCTCTTTTTGCAGACGGAGCAGGAGTTTTCAGAAAGCCAATCGTCTCTCGTGAACAAAGCTTACACAACTCTGCTTAAGCCTTTGAGTCGTGGCCTTTATATGGTGAGTCTGAAATCTCTGCCTCTACTCCTAATGAATACTTTATTTCCATAACTACGAGCTGTGTGTCTGATCCCTTGTTCAGAGAGAAACATCTTCACCATCTGATTTTCCAGATTATTGACATGCATTTAGAGGAGCCTGATGAACTCCCACCCCCTATGTTTCAGCTGGAGCTGCAGGGGATGCGTATAGAGGAGGGCACCGACTCTGGGGCTGATTCTGAGTTTCTGTTGGAGCTGATGGAGATCAATGAAGCTCTTGATGAGGCACGGACTCCAGAGGAAGCCAATAAGATCGGCCAAGACACGAAAGGTAAACAAAAACGAAAGTCTGTTTGAGGGATTTGAGCTCATTATGAATAATACATTTGCTCAAGTGGACGAGCACTTGGTTAATTGGTGCTGACACATCATCTTTTTCAGATTTATGATAAGTTAAATGAGTATTTTTACATCTCCAGGCTCCATCTCCAACAATTATTTAAATCAAAACAATATATTCAATAAAACCATTAAATTGTTTAAATTGCTCACTGTCCTAGTTGGGATGTGGCTTATTTTAAGGGTTTAAGGGTTCAAGATTCTCCGTTCTGGTTGATGTGGCGATACCTGTGGTTACCATGGTAACAGCAAGTCATTGCACACCGCAGACAACACTTTTTGAGCAGCTACGCAACAGCAGAAAACACAACACAGGAGCAAGTATGTGTGCGGTTTCAAATGCAGCCAAAGAAAGAAAACATGTAGGTGAGTAGGCGGAGATTGAAAACACTACTGATAAAAAAATACATAGAAATATACAGGAATTAAAAAATATATATATTGATTGGCTAATGCAGAAGAAATGCTAAACAAAGATGTTATTGGATTTGATTTAGTGGAAGTAATTACAACTTTAACTAAGAGTTAAGTGACATAAAGGTCATACATATTTGCCTTCCTTTGATATAGAAAGCACATAAGGTGAAAAACCGATGCATACTTCACAGATCTAACATATATATGCCTGTATGTATGTATGTATATATATATATATATATATGTATTCACTTGTGCTTGAGTGCCGGATGACGCACGCATCAAACTGTGTTGACACGATGTGTCTCTTTGATTTCGCTGTTGTCTGTTTCACTTCGAATCAAGCAGTTCATCTCAGAGGCGAGCGTGCTTTTGAATTTCCAGGAATAAAGAACAGCATGATGTGTCCCATGTCTTGTTAACATATGCAGAACTGGAACTTGTCTCCTCCACACTTGCAGGGAAACTGGCAGACTTGACAGAGCGGATAGACGCTGCCCTTCGTAAAGGTATTATGTTGCAGCGAAGCATTTTCTGTTACGCCCACGCGCTCGTTTGTTTGTTTTATAATCTATGCTGAAGCTTACCTTTAAGTCGCAGAGTGAGTCATTGATTCAATCTCCTTTTGCGCTCTTTGTCTTTTTTAATCAGCGGAGCTCCAGACTGCCAGAGCTCTTCTCTCCCAAATGAAATACCACGCAAACATCGCAGAGAAAGTGAAGGAGAAACTTCGGGAATTCATGTAATTTCTACCCTATATTAAACATTGTTTTATATTTTTAGTCACTTTTGTACAGAATGCACAGATCGTTGTGTGTATATATATATATATATATATATACCTGAGATTATGTAAAGTGATTATTTAAGTTAAATTAAAACACCTGTATTGAATTATACACGACTGGATTAATGGTGGTTTGTACTTAATGCAGTATTTTTATTTTTTTATTTTAAACTGTGTAGATATGAGGATGTAATTAGATGCAGACAGTATCTCCCCTGAATTTCACTCATTTCAAATACCTAATCACATCCACATGTACCTAATGGATCATTAAAGATGACAGAGATGTATTATTGGCAGTGATTAGAAAACAGCTCGGAGTGTTTATATGATTATCCTGCCTATCAGTTCAGGAGCCTGTCACACTCACTCACACACACACACACACACACAGATGCAGGACCCTCCTCCTGTTCCTCAGGGTGCCTTTAGGGGGAGACATAACACCTTGACAGTCATCATGCGGAGGAGCAGCACACGATGTACAGACAGGAGATGTGACCAGAACCCAGTGCTTTCATCGAGGCGAAACACTTATTGAATTATGAATGGTGGTTTTTCACATGTTGCATTAATGCCACGATAATCAGGACGACCCCGCTGAATGGCGATCTTTTGATGATCTGTGTAATTCCTCACTCATGAATTGATGCACACTGACCCCGTGCACCTACGCCTGCAGCACACTCGCTGTGCACCAGAATCTTAATTCATCCACCTTCTCCCTCTCAGTTCTGAAGGTTGTTCTTTCATCACCGTGGGGAAGATTTGTCATAATCTTTAATTACTTCGCAAATTAGAGTTTCATCAAAGCTATTGATCTGAGGAAGTGATACAGTCATAATCACAGTGAAATACAGAGGAGGGGGGTTAATCTGTCAGCTGAAAGTGAAGCAACAGATATCATGTGACGTTTGCACCAGGATCACACCTGAAACCAGATTGTGCGTTGAAGTGGTTTTACGTTTGTCTGTGCAGCTCACATCGGAACGTCCCTCTGTGACACGTCCTGATGGGTTGTTCATTAAGTCTGGAACAACAATGTCATCTGAAGCTGTTTCTGTTTTCTCACCGTGGAAAAGCAGTTTCCTTAATACACATGGATAGACAGTGAATTAAACAGGGATACTCCCACCAGAGACCTATTTATTATTCATGTCGTAATCGGAAGGCATCTACGGCGCCTTTAAATTAATGGGAAAATGTGATCGAGCAACACAGAGGTCACTGCTGCTGTCTCACAGAAACTCCTTGAAATTGAGTTTGAAAGAGACGAAAAGGAAAGAGAAGAAAAAAAGAAAAACTCACTACAGCCAGGCTGTGAAATTGACTTGGATGGGAAAGCTTGGCAAAATGAACTAGGTACATGGGACCACCAGGCAGCTTCTGGAATGAATCAGGTCAGCATCAGGCACACTACACAACTTCCTCCTGCTGCTGCTGCTGCTGCTGCTGCTGCAGGGCTTAGCAGGATTTGCTGGCCGTAGCACTCGGGGTTCAGCTATTCTGTGCAGGTCTACGTGACCCAATAAAGCCAGTTTAATTACTCATGTTAGTTACCGCAGTAGTTCGTCATTTAAAAGCAACACGATGCGACTTTGTACCTTAAAATAGCAGCTTCAAAATGACTTTGATGGTTCACTGAGAATGTTTCCTCTTTCATTCCCACTCCTCACCCAGAACGTCTGTTTCGCTCTATATGTGACTTTGGTGAGTGGGTACAATCTCCTGTGAGAAGTGTGGAACTGACTCAGAGTCAGAGTTTTAAATTGACTCAATCACATCCGGCAAGTGGAAGAGTTGAGCTGAACTGTTAAAAAAAAATCTCCAATATTCAGCAGGAATCTTTTAAAATATGAAGAATTTTGAACAGAGTTTGGTGGATTTGTTGCAGCGGCAGCTCTCCTTGTTCAGGAAGCCGGGGATCTTGGGTAATATCCACGGTATCGACCTCACTTCCGCAGCTCGCTTCCTAATCGCCACTGTGACAGACTCTGGCTGCCATTGCGCAAGATGGCAGCGTTCGTATGCTTCATATTTTGGCTTCACTTACAGTCATGTTGAGACGTGAAGGATGGCTGGAAAACAATTTTAACTGGATTAAGGCATCTAAATTAGCTGACTGACCATATGGGCTTGAAATAAGTATCATAATAAGATTAATGTCTTAATCACAGCGTTCTCATAATCACTTTAAGACTGAAATACAGGTGCCTGCTCTCAACAGAAACCCCGATAGAAAAAGATTTCATTATAGACGAGAAAGTGCACACAACACAGAATTCCATATAGAGCTCCATCTATAGATGCCGTACAATGAAAAGTAACGCAGGTGAACACCAGTGAACATGACTCACCAGAGCTTAGCTTTTAGCAGCAGTCTTTATGATCCTCGTCCTTCTGCTCAGCTTTTGTGAGTCAGAGTGTCAGTCCCATCATCCCACAGACACCTCGAGCCCGCTGCGTGTACTCGTGTCTCACCAGGTAGTAATGCCATTATAATGTACCACTATCGGGATTCCTCACCCTCCCTTAATCCATGTTTTTATGTTGTTTACCTCATCCCTTTACCCAGCCGTGTCTTCACCTCCCCGTAAAGCTCCTGAACCACAACCTGCTTTGAAACCTGTTGCTCTCGGAATTTTTCAAACCTGCTTATTCTGTGCTTATAGTTGTTATTATATCTATATGTTTCAGTTTTTAAAGTTCAGTTTTATTGGCCTTTTGCTTTTACAAAACAGGGAGAGGAGAGGAATGAAATGCAGTTTTTGGTCAGCCTGCAAAGAGACAAACCAGGAACCTATACTGCTTGAAGAGCCATGAAAAAAAATAAGAACGAGAGACAAGAGTGGAGTGGAGTATAAATTACAGATACTTGCTAAAATATTTAGTGGCGCAAAAGGAAAATAAATCTATTTCAATAAAGTACACATACATGGGAAATGTACTGTACTGGAATAAAAGTAAAGTAAAAGTAAATCTAGAACATAACATCACACTTACGGTTTTAGCCACAACCTGGTTGGACAGTGTTCTTCACGAGATTGTTAGAGTCATAGAAAATAAAAACACACAGTCGTGGTTTTCTGGTGACTGATGTGAGGTGATACAATGAAAGATGTTGGGAAATAGAAGCTGGCAGCAAAAAAAAAACACTACGATTACACTGCTTTGTTTTTAAAATTTTCGGCATTCATCCACTTATTCAAAGAGTGCCTCGATTTCCTGCCTTTCGTTTAAATCTTATCTTCATTAAAACAATGGATAGGATATTTCAAACGCTCCGGATTGCTTTGTTTTTTTCCCCTCCTTTAATGTAAGTATAAGTCAAATCGAAACACGCTTTGACAATAAATCCCTTTCTTCTCGGCTGCATGTTTGTGGGGAGAATTCCCAGCGGTGTTAGCCTCGCTGTGGCAGGCGAGCTGCTCTTCCAAGCTTTTGATATCGGCCCTGCTGAGAGATTTCTGGGGGAATTCTCTGCTCTCCTCTGCAATATGAGGCAAAGGCCTGTGCATTTAGACGCAGCGTGTTTGTGTGCTTGTGCACACATTGCTGCATGTGTCTCGTTGAGCCCGGAATCAAGAGCCATGTCGTATCTTCCAATCCCTCCGACTTCTCAGAATGGGCAATCGGCCCACCAGAAAGCAGTTGAGGAGTAATCCCCTTATCAATTGCCTTCTGGAACCTCATGTCACATATATTCCTCCAAATGATATTGGATTTGATGTGGTACACTGCTCCAATCGAACACTTCTGCTGGTGTGTCTTGTGGTCTGGATAGGAATATTACTGTACAGTATATTCCAGGGTTTTTATCAAGTAATTGGTCGTTTTGGTCAATTTGGTTTTTGGGAGCGGCTGTGTCTCAGGAGGTAGAGTGGGTTGTCCATTAACAATAACGTAAGGTCAGCGGTTAGATCCCTGTCTGCTCGATTCTGCATGCTGATGTCTCCTTGGGCAAGATAATATTGTCTCTGATGGCTGCGCCGACAGTATGTAAGTGTTATGAGATAGAGAAAGCACTTCACATAGATGCACTGTGTGAAAACACTAACGGAAAGCCCTTTGAGTGGTCGTCAACACAAAGACAATACAAACAGACCATTAACCATTTTTATAATTCAGACCTGGGTGACATAGTGTTGTTAGTACTGTCACTTCTCAGCAAGAGGGTTTTCACTTTAAATTCCATTTCAGGGCTTTTCTTTGTGGATTTACTTTTGCTGCCTCCTTGAAACACAGATCAATTTAATTGGAGAATCTAAATTTTGTGTGAGTTGTTTGTTTCTAAACATTGGCCCCGGGATACGCTACACGATTTCCAGAATACGATACCCCACCTCTTGCCCAATGTCAGCTTGGCTCCAGCAACCCCGCCGCCCAAGGATAAGTGGTATAGATAATGGATGGACTGATAATTCAGACCAGCTAGACACCTACAGTGTGCCACTGGTGCAAACACGGTTCCTCTTGTTTTCTCTGTGCTCATTAGAGAGGTGAAATCTCTTTTCTTGAAGATGGAGGTGTTGCTGTGCAAAAGTTGGAGACCCAGAGAATGCAAAAATTAGAATCCACAAAAAAGAATAATCCATTGGATATGCATGTCTGATTTTTTTCCCCCGTTAAGATCCATGGAATGTTTCTCTGAGAAGAAATAACAAAAACAAAGACAAAACATAAAACCTCATTGGCAGAAATGAAAATATCAAATATGTGAAATGCAACAGCTACAATATCTTCTCAGTCGAATCTCACAGGGAAAAAAAAGCATGGTCCGGTTTTAATTAAACATCTGTGAAGCAGTAGGCAGGGGTGGATCTGCACATTAAGAAGGATTTCTTTTTTTTTTTTTTCGGCACTTGGCTGTCCCATTGAATCACCGGGAGATATTGCTTCAAAAGCCTCCTTTGTGGTTCTTGGGTGTGGAAATCCTTTGAAGGTGAAGAACCAGGCGTTTTTAAACAAGGTGTATGTGGAAACAGATCAGCCATTCACTTTCAGCTGAGTTGAGTGCAAACCACTCGCCTCTGCCGGGATCGCTCCCCTCACCTTATCTCCTGCACTGTGCTGCAGATCCTCCCCGCCGCACTATCTC